TTCTTCTAGTTCATTTCACGATAATTCTAAAATATCTGAGTAATAAGCACAGCGGTTCCCATGTTTAGTAATCGCAACACGTACCCCCAGGGGCTTTTGGCGTAAAAGAGTACACGCGTTTCCACCCGACCGGCAACCACACGTGCAGATATTAAACATACATGTATTAAACGAACTTAATGCCCGCGCGACTACAAGAACTACGCGGGTTACGATGACACGACGCGCGCTTTATGTGTTTGTTTTGAACGTAAAGCGAGGCGTGTTTGTTGCCGCCGAAGATGCGGCGCGCGAGCGCCTGCACGAGCACGAGCGCACGCGGGCGCGCCGCCTTTTTAAGTGGCCGTTATTCCCTCTGAATATCGACAAGACCGTAAAAGCGACGACACGTTCCGAGAGGCCGGCCCGGCCCGGCGCGCCAGCGCGCACGCGCGAGCGGCGGCTCGGACGGCGAGCGGCGCGGCGGGAGTCGATTCTTCGCCCTTCGACTCCGGGAACGGCGGTTCCCCGAACGCGCCTCGCCGTCGTGACGGGTCGAATGCCGCGGGAACGGCCGCGCGGAGCCTCGCTCCGTGCGTGCTCGTAATTGTGGGCGGGGAGGACGGTGGTAAAGCGGGGAAGGGGGTGCGGAGCACCATGGGAGGAGTGCGGTGCCCGACGGGGAAGTATACATGCCGCTGAATAACTTCGACTGCGTGAACGTTGCGTTCGGAGCCATAGGAGACGTTCGGTGTAGAGCGAAAGTATGCACGCCACTAAATAATAACTCCGGCTTTGAAACCATGGGAATGAACCGTGTTCTGCAGTGCATGCCTGGACACCAATTATGAAACTCTCCGGCTTGCTCATTTTCAAACACCTCAGCACTTTTACACTGCATGAACAATTTTTTACGGACAACTTACAGATTGCTTTTCCTACGTAATATGATATAAATCTCTGGGAGCGACTATCACCTTAACCTTACCCAGACAAAAACTGAAACAAATTACATACGATTAGAAATACTGATATAATTCATAGGTAATAAAGTTTCAGAAGGTATATCAAATAGCACTTCCGCAGACAGAATGCCGGAAACTACCTAATCGAGAGGAGCAAAACCAAGGATAAATAAAGAAATAGGAGGCCCATTATTTCGTTACAAAAAAAAAGAGGCGAAGAGAAGGGAGAAACAGTGGTGCTAGTACAGCACTACTTTCTTCTAACCTAAGTAATTTTCGAAAATTCAAAGAGAGTTAAACGAAAATGAGATCTGCACAATGTTTTAAATGTCCTTTGCTCTATCCGAGCAAAATAATTGACGGAAAGATTTCGACCCATTTTTGAAAAATTAGATTATAAAGTGCAATACTTCAAACGTAAATTACGCCAAAACTACTAGTTTTTTTCAAAAAGCAAATTACATGATCATTTTTAAAGATCTATTTTTTTAGAACAATGACGTTGAAGAAAAAATTATCATTAATATTTACTTTCTGTATTATTAATGTTTTGCAGTTTTCTAAACTAGAGAGCGTTCGTTAAAAGAGATATCAACGCCACATATTTTATCGAGTGTAACCGAGCATTTTTTTAATTGAGTCGTTTATGAGAAAAGAACTGTTTAAAAATTGCCTAAATTTCACGCAAAATTACGAAAAAACTCTCAATTTTGAAAAATTGTCCATGATTTAACGGATTAACAACGGATTTCAAATAAGAAAAAACTTTATTTTCGTTATTGTTGTTGTAGGAAAACATCGGCAGAAATTGAACTTTTGTTTTTTTCGAAAATTCAGACAATTCAACGAAAATGCCATTGTTTAAGGCGTTCTCCACGCTATCAGACGGCACAGTTTAGGGGGGGGGGGGGAATTGCAGCCATTATTTGAGAACATTTTGGAAAACGTTGAGATTTGTGTAAAGTACCCCCACAAATAAAAATATCAGTTTCAAACTCGCAGGGTTCCGAGCTCATTCGGATCGATAAGAGAATTTTGAATCCCCTTAACCAAATCGTCTGAATGCTTGAAGCACTAGCGTTTACCACAGAGGGATGGACGGTTTGCCATCAACCAATTTTTCAGCATAAAGGTCCACAAAACATTGTCTCTGACTACACGTGTTAAGAGGAAGTAATTTACTACATACAGGGACACGATTTATCCACTTTTGCGTTAAAAGACCCGACAATAAAAGTTTTTCTCGAAAATTCGCCGATTTCTGCCGCACGATTACAATACTTTCTCCTTACTACTTACGTAGTACGGCGAGAAAGTATAAATGTATACAGGCAGTTTCATTCACGTATCTCATTCACTCTCTTTTAGAATTCTTGGGCATTTGCCGTTGCGCAAATCGGCATCATCTACTCATAAGATTAAGCGGCAGGCGAAGTTAAGGTCGAGTTAAAGGTGGAGTGTAATGTTCGGCGAAGCGATCAGAGAAAAAAAATCGTGTAAGCAGAGGCTGGTCGAAGAAACCTGAGCTGCTGACGGAATCAAAGCTGAGGCTGAGCAGTCTACTATTTTAGAAAAACAAGCAATAGAATTTTAATATACTGAAGTAAAGGAAATGAATGTTTTAAGCCGAAACAACTTAAGTTGAATAAATTACTCGCTTGATTATCACAGCAAATAAATCATATCGAATATTGGAAATATCTGGTAACATTCTTGTAAATGGTGGTTATGAATACAAAATTTCACGACTTGCCTAATGGACCCGAAGTCATTGAAAGTGTTACATGGCATACTGTTCAATGTTCCGATAGTTATATAAGCAATCGTTATTGAAGTGATTAATAATTTTTGTACATACAATTATTAAAATTGTAGGTGTACATACATAATATTTACTTACACTTAAGTCATTTTCTTCTTTGTCATATTCTTTTATTTAGTATTTGACCTACTTCTTTATTAAGAAAAATTACATGATATTTCATTGGGTTACGAATACAAATAAATTGAATTTTTCCTGTTCTGAAAACATGCTACATATTTCATATACATGAAGTATTTTCCCTGCACATTCTCCGGTATTTTATTTTGCACCAAGCCAAAGCTAAACTTTTAGTGTATATTTTTGGAACTAAACGAGATCGCTCTTGCTACAAGTCTGCAATGTAGATACCCGAGGCGACGTGATGACAAAGCAACGTTATTTCCAGAGGAAAATAAAATCCATCTGCAACGAGGCAAAGCTCTCCACAATCTGCGACAAAAAATAATATTGAAACGAAGCTTTTGAATATACGACAAAATGTGATAACACAATTACCTATTGCGAAGTCTAATTAAGACTAACTATGTATTATACTAACGTACTGTATAGTATTCAACAACACAACAAATTAACAATAATATTAAATCGATGAAAATTAAAAACAGTCATATTATTAAGAAGATACACAAGTTAGTTGTCAAGTATCATTTGTAATTGCACCTTTTGACAGAATCTTTACCAATAACATTTCTCATGGTAGAATCAACGGCCTAACCCAACTGTAAATATGTTCAGGAGTAATGTTGGACGCAGCCTTTTATATCATGTTCCAGAACCCACTTAGAGAGGAGAATTCCATTAATTCTTAATCCACAGTGTTGATAATATATATATATATATATATATATATATATATATATATATATATATATATATATATATATTCACTAAATTGAGCATTATTCTCAGTTTGGTATCTCGTCTCGGGGGGTTAAGCAGAATATAATAATACGGTGAAATTCCAAAAAATGAATTCAAGGTATGAATATTTTTCATCTACTCATAATCTAAAACTGGCGAGAGGTTATTCGTTGTGATAGAGTAGTACCAAGGTGGTGGACGTGGATCTTTGTTGCCGAACAGCTGGAAAGACAAAGTCTGAGCTGCACAAAGGCTACCTCAGCTCATCCCGAATAAAGGCGAGCGCCCGCATTTTACACAGATTGCGGTCGTCGCATCGTCACCCTCTGGCGCCCTGGCGCCGGCACCTGCTCTCGGTGCCCGGGGTTGACATAGGCCAGGTGCAGCCGCAGAGCTCGTACGCTGACTAAAAGCTGACTAGAGAGTGAGAGGGGAGAGAGAGGGGGAGAGAGGAGAGAGTGGAGAGAGGAGAGAGAGGAGAGAGAGTGGAGAGAGGAGTGAGAGAGAGGAGTGAGGGAGAGGAATGAGAGGAGAGAGAGAATAGAGAGAGACAGAAAGACAGAGACAGTCACAGAGAGAGCAAGATAGAGAGAGAGGAGGGAGAGGGGCCAGAAAGGGAAGATCGATACCAGAACGAGGACACGGCATCGGCAAGTGGAGATTCCGCGAAGAACCCACTCAAGTCGGGCGGAAACCGCAATAAAACGGCCCCGCCACGCAGCCCCCTTCGCGCGGACGGGCCGCATTAATCGGAATGCAGGGGACTACGAATCAGCGCTAGGCCTACTCCACAGACTCGCCTTACTAATGCTGAAACAACAAAAGCATTTACCATTAAGAGATGGTGTCGAGTGTGATACTTCTGAACGTGGGTGAGAGCGTACCCCTTTATGTCCTCCCCTTCCCCAGAAGTGACGTCAGCGGTGGCTACCCTTTACCTTCCACAATATGATGGATGGCAGGGTGGTGAAGAATGAATGAGAAGGGAGAACGACAAAAGAAATGGGCATGACTACAATGCTTATTTGAAATACTTAGAGAAATGAATGCCAACTCCGACATGAAAACACATGATTAAAACACCGAAGCCTATGAGGGCTCCAACACACAGCTTTGGGCCACGGGCCGATGCATCCAGTTCCTCTCACCTCAAATCAGACACCATACAAGTGCGTTATACAAAAGATAAAACTAATAATAAGTAAAGTTATGCTACATTATTTCTGTTCTGCCGTTCTCACAGAGGTAGCTATTTACCGCGGAGGATTTAACGATCTCTATTTCAGACATGAAATGGAGATCATACGGTCTTTATCCAATATTAGAGACCGTGTGATAAGTAAGCATGCCTACCTCTCATATACTACACACTACCGAGTTACGAAGATGTAACGTTTCTTAACAATTTTGCTCATTTGAAACATGTTAACACCTACAGAAGATATTTTGCTTTCCTTCAATTCCATTTGTCGCCTTCGGCCAGGCATAGGCACCGTCGCCACCACCGTTGTCACAGCATCACCCCTGGCGCCGCGCTGCAGTAATTTGAGAATGCTCCACCAGGACCCCCAACGCTTCACGGCGGCAGCTCCCCCTGCCCCGCCGTTCGCTCTTTATACGCGGCGTAAATTAAAACCTCCGCGTGACAGGCGCCGCGGCTACGCCCCGCCCAGGCGATTGCTTGCTCACAGCCCCGAGCCCCGCACGGCCGGTTGAGCACTGCAGAGCATTGTACTATGGAATTTGGAGTTCTTTGCACAAGTGAAGACATGATAATAATAATAATAATAATAATAATAATAATAATAATAATAATAATAATAATAATAATAATGACTAGAAAGAGTTAGGACATTATTGGCTAAATGGTCCTCCTGTATTTAACAACTTGTTAATCCATTTCCTTCGAAAGTTTTCTGATGTTGACAAAATATAGCTATGTAGATAAATTAATTATGCAAAAAGGTGTGACTGGCTATTTAACAACTTGTTAATCCATTTCCTTTAAACGTTTTCTGGTGTTGGCAAAAAAAATCTATATAGATAAATTAATTACGCTAAAAGGTGTGACTGGAAAGTGTTATTCACTCTTACGATTACTGTATGACCGCCGTGAAATTTGTATTACAAAACGTAGGTTTTTTTCATAAAACTATTTATCGTGTGTTTCAATGCTTACCAAATGAGGTCTGAAGAACGTATCTTCCAACTGTAACAGGATCTGCAAAATAAAAGTTTGGTGTTATTATAACGTACTGAACATTACACAGTCTGAAATAAACAACAAAACTCATTTTAAAGTTAAATACAATAACAAAGATGTGACCAAAAATGATAATGGCAAGTTGATAAAGAATCTTGAAATACTTAGGAAGCGTCCACAAATGCAGCAAAATCGGTAAACGGGGCACTGAGTGCATAGATAACAGCGAAAAATGTTGTCAATGTCACAGTGTGATGTCTAACAACCTCATCACCACAGAAGGAAGGAATTTGGTAGTCATATATAGAAATGGTATACTGATAAAGCGCACCGGATCCCTTTTGAAGTAAAGGTCACGATTAGTGCACAAAGCCTTATGAAGTGATAATGAGAACTGTTTTATGACACATGCCACAAATGTGCGTTTTTCACCCAATTTTGAAAGATACCCAGGTAAATAAAATTGACGGTGACATACAGAGACCACAAGGACACTCAATGTGCAGCTAAGAGACATCTCCAGAATGTATGATGTTCAAACCACCAACAATGTCCTACGTCAACCTATATCGGACTAACAAAGGGTCAAACTCCTCTGCTGGAGGTTTTTCATTACGAGCAAGACCTAATTGCTGTTTACACGATCGCATAGTCAGGTATGCATACGGTAGTCAGAAAAATCGTCATGAATTGATTGATGCATTATTTTTATTTCGGGCACGTCATCTAACAGGGTATTAGTTCCGTAAGTTTAGTACATGCAGGAGGTGGCAGTGATCTTTCCCTCGCTGTATGGCAGATCCGGCGTCGATCTACCGTCGGCTAGCTGTTTTCTTCCAAACCAAGTATATCCACCAGCAGGGCACCGCTCCAGCCGTGACAAGCTCTAAGCTCCCGACCGGTCTCCCAACATATGTGGTAGTGTAGTGCGTGTTAGTGTAAGTGTGCGTGAAAGGGAGAGGATAGGACAAGAAAAAGGGGTAAGAAAGATCGCGGGCGGTCCGTGGCCCATTTGTTAGGGTACTGCTCCAGCATTCGCCTGCTGTTGATCGGAGAACCCACGGAAAACTACCGATCAGAGCAGCCGGCCTCTAGAATGCTCCTCCAGACAGATCGCGTTCGAACAGGTGTCAGTGACTCTTTTCCGAAGAGTCGCGATTTAATTTGCAGAATGATTCAGGACGCACACTGCTCAGAAGAGAACAGGGGATCCGCATAACACGATAAAGGATCGTTATTGTGGGATGGCGTAACGACGTGGGTGTGCGTCACAGCCAATGGTCGTAAAAGGCTCTTGAGTCTCATCTGCGACAGTTTCAGAGAGCAGTGGGTCCCTCGTGCATTTTCATGGAACTTATAAAACACGGTGTCTTCTAACGAACCGAAATGATACATTTCTTCAGGGGAAAGATGTTCAACATCTGGATTGATCGGCGCTGACCTCATCAACGCCCATCTTACAAGCATTACGTATCAGTGGGAGTCCTCTGTTTGGCGTAGGTAATCGCACACCGTATTGAAGGCCAGCATCTACTCAGATTCCAATTGTTCTATGTTTATGTACGCCCATTTGGAGTTCATAATTATTTTCTGTAGTTATGCAATTACTCTCGTCTGCGATTATACCACAAACTATAACAATTATGAAACACTTTTGGACTTTAGAGTATTTCCACAGTATTGATACACTTCTCTGTCCAAATGGCTTAATCCGGCTAGTGAGATTACTCACATTCCAGAGTGTAACATTTAATGGGCATATGAAGAACCGTAGAACTTTCAATACATTCAATTCACTCCCCAATTACGACACGGAAACAAGTAAGTAGTTATATCATTCTTTTTCAGTTTAGGAGACGATCACTTACGATATGTGAGAAAATAGATTTTAAGTTGATATAATGTTGTTACAGCGGAGTCAATGATTCAGCAAAATAATTAGCGAATTACTCTCTTGAGTAATGAAATTAAATAAATCGGTAAAATTGTATGACAACTTACATATTTTAATTCTTTTAGGTTTCTTACATCAACTCTTAGTAATTTGATGATTCCTATTGCAATAATTACCCTGTTCATCATTCGATATGTAATAGCATTCGAAAAACAAGAGAATTGAATTATCCAATGTCATGGCCTTGAAATACTAATTCGATTACTAAAAAAATACAGTATACTGGTATCTCTGTATTATACACAAATAATATTATTGCTGCATTGTATTTCAGATTTAAAATAATTCATTTTCACAATCACTGAAATAATCACATTATTAATGTCCACGGTGTTTGTTTAAATCACATTCCTGCTTCTATTGTATCTAATGAAAGAATAATTCACGAAATGAATGCACAAAATGTTTCATACACGAAATATAGTTTTCAACAATCCTATTACTGCAACCGCAGAGTTTAACCCACCGTTGCACTAAATATACAGCCAGAATAATTACTACGTAACGTAGTTCTCCATATATCAGGAGAGCAGCATATGTTGCACACACGTTGAAATCAGTGCAAAAACGAGAATGGGAACATGTTATTGTGTGAATTTTGTGAGATTTCGAACGGAAGCCCCAGAAAAGTCCTTTTTTCAAATACTACGCAGAACGCACGATAAACGCAATAAAAATAATCAGGTCGTCCGCTAAGCCAACCCACGCGGAGCACTAAATGAACCATAACATGCGCGCCCTGCAGCGGTAGTCGCAGGGAGGGGAGATAACGCAAGTGCACCGAGATACGCAGCGTTCCAAACAACGCCAGCCCCCGCGGCGCCGCTGCTCCTGCCGGATTCCGCAGCTCCGCCAACACAACCGCACGCCTTGGCATATCGCTCCTCTCTCCAACTCTCTCTCTCTCTCTCTCTCTCTCTCTCTCTCTCTCTC